AGTGACTCAACCCAGGCTACCAGGCCCACATCTAATGTTCTCCAAGGTAATTGATAGTCATAAAGATTGCTGAGACTCTATGGTGTCCTACTTTGTACTCTGAGTCACACTGTAAGGGATTAGATATATGTTCAACATTGTGTTTATGTCTGACAGTAACTTAACATTTTATTTATTAATTCTGTGCGTGGCTGTTTTGTCTGCTTCTATGTTTGTGCACCACACCCATGAATGCTCAGAGGCCAGAAGAGAGCATTAGGTCCCCTAGAACTAGAGTTACAGGGGATTGTTAGCCAACACGTGGGTGCTGGGAATAGAACCAGAGTCCTCTAGAAGAGTAACAAGTCCTCTTAATGGATTAGCCATCTCTCCAGTCCCTCTGGCAGTATTTTTAGAAACTTTGGCTCCTTTGAGTATTCACCCTCTGTCTGATGTCTTAGGGACTTTTCAGTTGGGTAGCCTATCTCCCATGTGGGCTGGTGGCATTGAGGACTTGTTGTCTGCACCAAATATCTCTAGTTCTCATCTCCAGCCTCCACCCTGGTCACACCTCTGTTTCACACTCTTAAAACTGTCCCCACCACTCCCTCTGGTTCACCTGCCTCATAGTCCCATGTAGTAATGCTTTCTGGCCCCATCGGGAGCCAGCTCTGTTTGGTGCACCTTTTGCCATTGGTTTAGTCTGCAAACATGAACTGAGCATCGTCCCAGGGAACAGAGAGAGACGTGTGGGGCAGACACTGAGAAAGGCACAAGAAAATATGTCAGTTCTACCTCTAGGGGACAACATATTCTCATGACTGTCACCTGGAGAGCTGGCTCACTAAAGTTCAGAGGTGCCCACATCAAAGTAGTGAAGGCTAAGGGGACCCAGGCAGGAATGGGTTTATCAGAAAAGCTTGCCCAAGGGGAGAATGGAGCTAGACCGTCATTGTCAGGAATGTTGACCAACCTGGGCAAACAGATGCATGTGGTAGGGAGCCCATCCTTGTAGTGGGATCAAAATTCCTTGTCACCTCCACCAGGAAGTTGCATTCTGAATCCTGAGCTGCTCCTTCCTCTCTGGGTTAACTGGCTCATAAAGACTGGGGCCAGCCTCACCAAGGAGGAAGTGGACTGGCTTCCTGTTTGTTTGTGACTCTCAGAGGTACAGGGCACAGCCATGCACAGCAATCAAACAGAACAATGCTGTCTGAGCCAAGAGTCCCCGGGAACTCGTCTGCCCACCAGCACGCTCTCCTCTCTGCACCGAGCTTCTTAGCACTCCATCCTAGAGCAGCCCTACTCAGTAGGGCAGGCCTGGAGCAGCTAAGCCTGCAGATCAGGAAGGAGACAGTGACTTCCTCAAAGAAGTCAAAGCCACATATTCATAAGGCTAAGCCACTGGGAAGCTCAAAGCCCAGAGCATTTCTGTCGTCCTTATCCCGAAGGACACTTCCTGAAAGAGACCCTGGGTACAATTCTTGTTACCTGTGATCAAACCAAGTGCAGGGATCTCGGGTCTTTTTAAGAACCAGGCATTGCACAAGTATAAGATTTTCTTAGCAACAGTGAAAGCCAACTAGAGGCAACAAAAACAAACAAAAAACAAAAGACCCTTAATGAATCCACATGAAGAAAAAGACAGGAATTTGAGTCCCTAGACCCTACAGTGAGAGAACTAACTGACTGTTTTGTTTTGTTTTGCTTTCTCTTGTTTTTGGAGACAGGATTTCTCTATATAACATCCCTGACTGTCCTGGAACTCAAGAGATTTGCCGGCCTCTGCCTCCAGAGTGCTGGGAGTAAAGGTGTGTGCACCACCACACTGAATCTTGAAAGTTCTCCACATGTGTGCTGTGGCATGCAGGAACACCCCTCCCTCCCTCCCTCCTTCCCTCCCTCCCTCCCTCCTTCCCTCTGCCCCTCCATCCCTCTCCCCCCACACCAGTGTAATGCAAATAGAAAAAGTGAAAGTCTCCCAACCATATCTCTCTCACAGTTCCTCCCCAAATAACTTGTTGGGTTGCTTAAATTTCCTCCCCCGGCCACCAAAAATCACTGAGTAGTGCATGTAACTCTTAGTCTCTATGTGTCTTTTTGTAATTATTTGCAGAAAAGATCATATTTATAGTACCCGATTATCCTTCTCTTACTAAAAACAAATATTTAGTGTGTGTGTGTGTGTGTGTGTGTGTGTGTGTGTGTGTGTATGTAATATTACCTGTGGGCAAAGAGATAATCAATGGTCCATTCTGTTTTCTTTTTTACATTTCTCTGTATCGTTGAGAACAGGAATATTAAGCTGTCAGGATTCTTCTAGATTTGCAGGATGAAGCAGGGTGGGGCTTACTAGGGTTAATAATTCCCGGAGACAGTGGCAGGGAGGAGGTGGGAGCTATGCTTTGCCCTCAGACCTGGACATATTAGTCACAGTGTAAGGATTCCACACTCCGCTTTGTGGATCCCTTGTGGCGGAAGTTGAAACCCTCTAACCATCTGGCTCCCTTCCAATCACTCCCTTTCTGTTTCTTCCCCATTTCACCTCCTCGTAGTTTAACTCTTAGCCTGAGCCTGATAATAAAGAACAGAAATCTGAAGGAAAAAAAGAAAAAAAATCAATACTATAAAGTCCTTTAATACAGATGACCCAATCACCCATCATGTGGACTAAGCCTTTTTAAAAATCTATTTTATTTATGCGTGTGGATTTTATTGTTGTTTGGTTCTGCGTGTATTTCAGTGCACCATATGTGTGCCAGAGATGTTCAGAAAAGGCTTCCCTGGGACTGGCCTTACAGAGGGTCATGAGCCACCTTGTGGGTGCTGGGAAATAAAACTGAATCCTTTGGAAGACGAGCCAGTGCCCTGACTGCTGAGCTATTTCTCCAGTCCCTGGACTGAACTTCTTGAAAAAGGACCTGTGTCCTATCTGCATTTTTATTCCCTGAAACATCTAGCCTAGGACTGCACATAGTAAATGTTCATAATACCTGCTGGGTGAATGGGTAAACAAACTCATACATATGAGTCTATCCATTCATAAAAACAGATCTGGCCATTTCAGGTCTATTCATTCATTAGAGACAGGCACAAGATTGCAGGCCAAGCCTCCTTAAGCACTTGACTTATCAGATTTTTAAAAATAATTTATTTAATTTTATGTGCACTGGTGTGAGGGTGTCAGATTTCCTAGAACTGAGTTACAGAGAGGTGTGAGCCACCATATGGGTGCTGGGAATGTTTGAACCAGGGTCCTATGCAAAGGCAGCCAGTGATCTTAACTGCTGAACCATCTCTCCAGCCCTGAACTATCAGATTTAACTGTGGTCTCCTCCCAAGTGTTTTGGGACATTGCAAAGAAAACTCTTGGTGTCTCAGAAAGAAAATCTGATGTTCCTTACTGGATAGGCTCCTTCAGACTGACCTCAAGCTGCTAAAACCTGGGCAATCAGCACCCTCAGCGCCTCACTGTTAAGAACGGGTGAGACCAGAGCTGCCCGGAGGTTCATTCAGTTCTTCCTGGTAGCACTGGTTTGGCCACGGTTAGGACGGTTTGTATATTTACAGCCACAGATGCCCGGGGGTTCTCTATCAGGAAGTCATCTACAAAGGGTCACCTCAACCTATTTGCTTATCTTCAGTGTTGGCTGGAACAGATGGGCCTTTTTCTGAACATCTTGTTCCTGTCACCCAGCCTGGAATCTGAGCTGGCAATCAGGCTGCTGCCATCTGGTGGAGAAGAGCAGCAATAGTGACTCCTGGCTCAGAGTTTGGTCCTAAGAAACACCGGATTCCAAGCTTGCCCAACAAGGAACCTTCCCACAAACAGCAGTGTCTAAGACCTCTGCGGGAGGTAGAAACGCCCCGCAGTGCTCTGGTGGCTAGTACTTCCATGTCCTGCAGCCCACCCTTCAACAGTTCTGTCAAGGTGAACATGTGAGCCAACTTCTTGTTGCCGCAACAAAATACCTGAGAAAAATCAGCTTACAGGAAAAAAAGGTTTACTCGGCTCAGAGTTTCTGAGGAGTCAGACCATAGTCAGCTGGCTCCATTGCTTTCAGGCCTGTGATGAGGTAACATCGACACAGAGGGAGCTTGTGGAGGGACACTGCTCTCTCCTCATAGCTGGGGGGGGGGAGGAGGAGGAGGAGGAGGAGAGGAGAGGAGATCCAGACACACGCCTATGCTGACTGACTTCCTCCCAATGTCACTAAATTGTGAATCCATCAATGGATTAATCGTGTGTGGTGTGTGTGTGTGTGTGTGTGTGTGTGTGTGTGTGTGTGGTGTCTACCAGCCTGTGTACAGAGACTAAACGGGTATGTCTAAGTCTGGTGTCCTCTATCCTGCTCTATTCCTCTGAATTTCCTTAAGGTAGGGTGTTTCACTGAACCTGGAGCTTGCTTTTTTTTTGGCTAGGCTGATGGCCCACACCCCCAGGGTCATCGTGACTCTGTCCAAGCCCACACTAGGGTTACAGGCACTAATAATGATGTTTGCCTTTTTATGGGGGTGCTGGGGATTTGAACTCAGACTTTCACACTTATGTGGAAAGCACACCAGTCCCGTTCCCTGCCCCCCCCCACCCTGCCCTGCCCCTTTAGACCTTGCACTGTCAACCAAGCCCTCAACGCAGGAGCCTTTACATTCAAATGATGAGAGTCATATTCTCAGGGGTTTTTGTTGCAACTGATGTTGTTTGTTTTGATTTTGTTGTGCGGTACTGCAGATGGAGCCCCTAGGCCTTGTGCTCTCCCTTTGAGCTACATCTCCAGCCCTCTGTTTTGTTTTTGTCTACTAAACAAACAAACAAACAAACGGGCTGGAGAGATTGCTCAGTGGCTGAGAGCACCAACTGCTCTCCCAGAGAACCCACATGATCGCTTACAACTGTCTGTACCTCCAGTTCCAGGGGATCCCACACCCTTAGACAGATATTCAGGCAAAACACCAATGCACATAAAATAACAATAAAGAAATCATTAAAGAGTAAACACATATTTTTTTAAAAAACCCAGGATGAAGAATTATAAAATTGACCAGAGATCTCCCAATACCCAGAATTCAACCCCAAATATCTCCAGTTCTACAACTTTCCCTCTAGTCGGAGTTGCCTTCTAGAGTGAGAATATGGGAAGTCCCACCCAGTGGACATCTTCATCCTGGCAGAAAGCACCACTGCAGGTCACTGACCTGAAAGAGGCTTCAAATGAGAAGGTATTGTTCTGTGTCCTGCCCAGTCTAGTCTAGCTGGTGACAAAACTGTGCTCCTGAGAGACATGAAAGGTCATGCTAGCACCTGTGAGTGCAAACGAAGGATTTCCAAACCAGTATGCCCCAAACACTGAAACAGCTGAGAGCCGAGTGGGGGGCTAGGAACAACGGTAGACAGTGTGTAGACATCTGCACTTCCCTGACGACCCTGCTACCTGGGTCCTGTAGGATGTTGGGCAGGACTCCTGGCCCTCCACACCTAAAGGAAGGAGGGCTCCCAAGGAGCTCAAAGCTCCCTGCTCAGTTCCATGCTGTCTGGGATGTCAGTGAAGTACAGTCAGATAGGAAAGGGGTCCTGGAGGAAAGATGTGCCAAAGAGGATTTTGGCAAAGGCAGAGGCTGTGACTCAGGGTAAGGGGGAAATACCCCAAATTATAAAAGAGCATGTTTGGTACAACCTATCATAAAGAACTTTTGCAAGTTCTCTTTGGGTCTCTGATTATCTCAGATGGACATAACCTTAGCTAGAGGCTGGAGTTACCAAAACCCTGGTTTTTGGGGTTCAGGGTGCTCATCACTGCCCTTGCCGCCACCCTAGGCTGTGGCTTCTTCTTTCCACAGGTAGTCCAGCAGCAAATAATTCCCAAAGGACAGAGCCATGGAAGTAAAGGCGTTTGACCCACACCTGGAGCTCCTGAGACCCATTAGAGACTATGGTTCCCCTTCTTTCCTCCCCCATTCTCCTTCCAGGGACTTGGAGATGTGAACAAGCCGGTGAACAGCAGATGGTGTAGGTCTGCAAGCCAGAGTCTCAGTGTAACTGCTCCTCAGATCATTGTAGCCTTGGACACAATCAAGGACCCTGGTGACAACCCACTGTATCTAACAACTCCCCCGGGGCTTGAGGACTCCAGATTCCAGAGCTCTTCCCAAGTCAGGAGTCAGCTATGTTTTCTTTCTTATGCTTTCTTTCGTTCTTTTTCTTTCTTTTATCCTTCCTTCCCTCCTTTTTTTTTTTCAAGACAGGGTTTCTCTGTGTAGCCCTGTCTGTCCTGGAACTTGCTCTGTAGACAGGCTGGCCTAAATTCTCAGAGATCTGCCTGCCTCTGCCTCCTGAGAGCTGAGATCAAAGGCATGAGCCACCACCACCCAGCTGGTCAACCATGTTTTCCAGAAAGGGTGAGACAGTATTTTAGGCTCTGTGGGCCATGGGGCTCTGCTGCAACCCTTCAATGCTGAGGTTGGAGCACCTAGGAGCATAGACAGCTGTGCCCCAAACTCAGCTATGGACATTAAACTTAGACAATTTCATGTGTCACAAAATATTATCCCTTTGATTCCTCCCTCCAACCCTTTCACTGAATAGAAACAGATCCAAATTCATGAGCTGTACAAAAACAAATGGTGTTATAGTTAGCTTGCAGGTGACAGTTTACCAGCTCTGAAGTACTTCCAGCCTTTCACAGCTCATGGCTTCTGCTAATCAGGCAGTTTTTCTCATCTCCCAGGAAAATGACAGCCGTATGCCCTCCCCCTCATGCTCCAATAGCCCTGACATTCTGGCTTCACCTGTTCCTCAGCAGTAACTGGACTAGAGGGGGCTGTAAAGAAGCTCCCTTTCCTCCACCCACCCAGTGTCTAAGGCAAGGGCATTCTCTTCTAGCTACAAACTAGGCCCAATATTTCCATCCATTCTCTCCGCCAGCTATGTTCATTGGGGCTTTGCCAAGGCACCCAAGCATCTACCCACTAGGGCAAGCTTCATCACCCTTTTCCACTGAATTCCCAATGCTGTCATTGCCAGAGTTCCAGGCTCTTCTTTCATGAAGAGACGTCCTATATAAGAAAAGCTTCAGTGAGGCCAGCCAGAGGTGAAGCTCTGGAGAAGAGGGGTTGTAAACTGGGCTTGAGATAGGGAGAGGGCAGGGATCAAAGGAGAATGGCAGAGGTGGGCAGGCGAGTGGGCTGCTGGCAGGTGACCTTAGAGGGTCAGTCAGTCTGGAGGGAGGGACCTCAGGAACTGAAGGGTGTGACTGTTAGCGGGCATCCTTCCTGACTCGGAGAACCCACTGCAGAGCAGCTTGATGTATACTAGTGTGCTCGGTGCACCACTGTCTACCTCCAGCCCTTGGGAGGCACACAGCAGAGGGATGACAGCTACACTGTGAGCTTGAGGCCAGCCTGGGGAACATGAGACCTTGTCTCAAACAAAACCAAACTGATCCCGAGCAAGAGCCTTAGCTCCCAGTTCTCCCTTCTAACTCAGCCCCACGAGCTGTTTTTTTCCATTCACTCGACAAACGCCAATTCTCATAAGGACCAGTCACTCCCAGGGCCAGAGGCCGAAGGGTACCCTGGCCTAATGCATGGTAGCGGAGAGAATGACAGGTATGACACAAGGAAGCACACAGACCTGCACTCCAGCGAGGAATGCCGAGTGCCTCTCAGGAATGTGGATGCATGTTGTTCAGGCCAGGGAGAGGCAGTGGGCTAGGGGACAGGGCACCATGGGCAAAAGAGAGGCAACTGGACAGAGACTCAAAGGACAGGCCATCTGGACCCGTGTGATGTCAGGGAGGGACAGGCTGTCCAATGTGAGGTGTCTGTGAGATGAGGCACAGCACAGGTATGGGGGGGACATGGGGAGGATCAGTGTGTCTTCTGGGGAGGTGCTATTAACAAACGAGCTATGTCCCAAAGCCTCTGTGACCTTCTTACCCAGGTTACTTCCTGTTGGAGATGGTGGTTTTACCCAAAATTAGTGGCAGATGGCAAAGGTCAGGGGGAGGTCCTAACTACATAGCTCCCCTTGCTGTTGCTGGAAGGCCCTATTAGAACGGCACAGCATTTGCAAACTGGGCATGGTGGCACAGTGTGTGCCTGTAACCCTAGCACTCAGGGTGGAGGCAGAAGGATCAGGACATTCAGGCTAGCCTGTGCTACATGAAAGCCTGCCTCCAAGTAAGCAAATAAATAGCTTAAAAACAAATAAATGAATGTCATTTGCTAATCAATGTTTGATAGTCTATCTTTCTCATTTTTTTTTAAAACAGAAACCCACACAAGAATGACTACCCCACCATGAACCTGTCCAGTGTTTAGGAGTGAGAAAAATGGCAAGCTCTTGAAGTTTTCATCCCCTTCCCTGTCCAGGGTCCACTGTCTTAGCATGCGAACCTTCAAGCCTGAACAAGGAAACTATTCATCCATGGAGGCAACCAGGAGGAAGCCACTTCCTGTTCCCTCCCTGTCCTGGCATGGCTTTCCATCCCAGGCTGAGAGGATGGAGATGATAAAGGCCCAATTGTGACAGTCTCACAAACCCAGAGGCCATCAAGGGGCTAAGAAGCCACTTAACAGCTTTTGAACATTTGTAAAAAGAATTATTCTGCGGAAGTGAAGGCAGAGAGAGGCCCCAAGGTTGCCACCGGGATGCACCTCTGCCACCCACGATAGAGAGGCTGACAGCAAAGCCAGCAGGGGTTCAGCCTGCTTGCCACACCACCATGGGCTGACCTGAGCAGGAGGGACTCAGACACCACCAACAGGCGGCTTTACAGTTCAGGGTTCCTGGACACCTGGAGATGAAACTCAATCTCCTGCCAAATGCAGGAAACACAAGGGTCCTTGAAAGGGCCTGAGGGAGAGAGGAGCCTCCTGCCTCCTCCTCCCAAGGGTGTCCAAAGTAATAAATGGCAGGAAAAGAGGAAGGCTGTAGTGTGGATGCTGGTCTGGAACTTATTAGGAATTAGGCTTTTTCTGCTGCAGTCTTCCGTGGGCTTGAGTCAGGCACCTCATCATTAGCAGGCCTCCCCAGTCTTATACGCAAATGCACAAGCAAGAAGAGATAGGAAGTCTGAGACTGTAAGAGACACCGGGTGAGCGGCGAGATGGAGACTTTAGGGTCAGCTTTGAGGGCCAGGAGCCCACCACTTTTTTGTGTCCCTTGGGAGGTAAGAGACCAGGTTCTGCATAGGCCTAGGGAAAGGTGTATGAAGAGTACAGTGTTGTGAGTCTATCCCCAAATCTGTCCAGCTGTTCAGCCTGGCCCGGTGGGAGAGGAATTGCAGGGTCCAGCTTAGACAGGAGCTTGGTGGTGGGAGGTGTCTTCTTAAGACCCCTCTGTAAGGCCAGATGGTGAAAGGGGAAGGAGTTCCCACCTTGTTCCTAAAAATATGAGGCGGGTGGTTGGTTCCATTCATTTCTCAGTCCTCAGTTCTTTCTCTCTCCATGATCTAAATGCATGCATTTGGTGTCCTTAAAGATGCCAAGCCATTGTCAGCCCCACCAGAAAAGCAAAGCAGAATAACCCGCTGCAGAGAAATTCAAGCCAGCTGATGTCTAAAAACCAAAGTAGAGGACAGGAAGGTACTGGGCGTGCGCAGCCGACACCAACTGTTAACCCTCCTGCCAGGGGAGCAGTGTCCAGAGCTTGGAGGCAAAGCAAACCTGTTTGTAGTGACACTAAGTTACAGAAGACAATTAATTAACCTCTTCCTCTGCCTCACCTTCTGTGAACTCATTTCATAACAAACTCATCAAGGTTTGGTACCAAGGTTCCCTTCAGGGTGGGGTGGGATCCACCACACACCACTAGGCATTTTCTAAAACTAAAGCATTTCTGTCTTGCTGGATATTCCTCCCTATCTGGTGATACAAACACATACACACACACACAATTGCTGGGACACTCTGTTCTGATCCTCTCGCTCACGCAAATTGAAAACAAACCCCGAAGGCAGCTGGAAGGTCTGGGTGTCTTTATTGACAGCAGCTTACATTGTGTTTTCCCCGGATTGCTTCCTTCAGAGCACCGGCCCACAGCCCTTGGGAAGGAAGGGCAATCTTTTAGCGAGGGAGCGGGAAGGCAGATGCATGTGTCCTTGGCAGGTGTGCTGAGCCCCGGCAGGATGCAATCCTTCAAGCTGGAATCCCATTGGGTATTTGAGAGGACCAATGTGGGAAGTGGAAAGGAAGTCTTCAACAGGACTCACATCTCAGTCCAGGACTCTTGGACTATTCCAAGTCCATCCCAGTTTTAGGACTCTGGTGGGGGCAGCAAAATTAGGCCCACCCACCTTGATGGTCAGATTCTTCAGTCCATGCCCTGTTCACACACACCTGTTTCCGCTGGTCACAGTTAGAGGGAACGGGCCTTACAGTTAAGATAGACCACTTCCTCTGGCCCTCCCCAGCTGCAGCTATATAGGTTCAAATGGCTGGAAAAACTGAGGGCTTGCCGTTTTGGTTCAACTGTGTGTGCCACTGTCCTCAAATCTTCCATATATGGCAGGATGCAGGCTATAGGTCTGCTCAGCCGCCAGCTGGCCTACCAGCCATCACACACACCGCCCTGCCTGTCTTCTGCCAACTGTCAGTGCCTACGGTGGAAGGCCAGGCTCCAAAAGACCCAAGCCAGTCTGCGTAAGCACTTGGCAATTCTAGGTATGAAAGTGGGTTAAAAAAAAAAGTGGAACAACAAAAGCTTCATTTGATAATTAGAGATCTGAAGCGATTTTGCTTTTATTTCCTTCATGTTAAGCCAATCATGAAACTTCACAGTGATTTCTGGGGTGGGGCAGAAGGAAAGTGTATTCAGAATGATGAAGGCCACAGCCTGGTTAGCCCGAGAAGGTGCAAGCAGAGGAGGCCTCACTGGGGAAGCTGGAGGAGCACCGACTGCCCGGCTGGCAGGTAGGTGATGTTCCGAGAGCGCGAGAGCTGGTAAGCAATGTCCTCGGCAGCTTCCAGCTTCCGCAGCTCAATCAGACCATCACCTGCGGTGGCCAGGGAGTTGGCGATCAGCTCGGCTGCCTTGGAGTCGCCCTCCGCAGAGATGATGGCCGCCTTCTTCTGCTGCTCAGCCTATAGGAGAGGAGGCAGAGGTGGCGATTATACCACAGCATTGCTTATCAGGCTCTGGCCTAACCAGGACCAAGTCAAGTACCTTCACAGGGTTCTCAAGGCACTCTGGGAGAATCCTTCCCTCACCATGCAGTCAATACTCTATACCCAGCCCTCCTCTTTCCCTTCATGCCACTTGTTATTGTAGGACACACATCTCTTGGCTGTATAGACACGGCACTCCTACTCTGATGCAAAGTCATGGAAAACAGAAAAGCAAAGTTGGACTCAATCCTTAGGCGCATCCTTCCCTCCAACACAAGGTCAAAAGGACTTCCATCAAAGCCAGGGTATCCAGGTGCTGGTGGCTAACAGCTGTAATCTGAGTGCTAATGTGGCGGTGGCAGACTGGAGGATCACTGCAAGTTTGAGGTTACTCTGGTTTACACAGGACATTTTCAGCCAACCAGGGCTACACACCCCACCCACAACCAAAGCAACCCCAGCAGAGTTAGCTAAGTGACACAGCATCCTCCTAGCCTGTACAAAGTCCTGGGTTTGATCCCTAGTACTGCAAATGAACTAAGTATCCAAAAGAGCTCCACAGCACAATATGCTCCCATGACTCCTTGGAGTTGCCTGTGGCAAACTCCTCAAACGGTACCCAAGGATGTCCTTGGCTTACCCTACCAATACCAACAGGATGACATCTATCAGGACTATGACTTTCAGAGTGTGCGAGGAGAGTTTGCCCTTAAGACTCCGAGTCGGGCGTTGGTGGCGCATGCCTTTAATCCCAGCACTCGGGAGGCAGAGGCCAAAAATCTTCCCTTCTTCCCCGGTTTTGGTGCTGGACAGAATTCAGCACCAAGCACATGGTAGATGAGCACTCTGTCACCAACCTACATCTTTTTGTTGTTGTTTGTTTTTTGTTTTTCGAGGCAGGGTTTCTCTGTGGCTTTGGAGGCTGTCCTGGAACTAGCTCTTGCAGACCAGGGTGGTCTTGAACTTAGAGATCCACCTGCCTCTGCCTCCCGAATGCTGGGATTAAAGGTGTGCGCCACCACCGCCTGGCCATGATCCCAAGCTACATCTTTAACTAACACCCAACTCAAAACCTTCACTAAATGTTGACTATGCACCCGACATCACCAGGCAATGTCCAGCCTCTTACAGGCCCTGGAGCACAGCAGACACAAAGCTAAACACACTCCGGGCTTATGCTTCCTACAACTAAGTCCCTCTTCTAGATTCTAACAATTAAACGTCCTTGGGTTAGGAGAACCAGTAGTGGGGAGAGGCAGATAGCAAACAGCCTTTACATACACCAGGAAGGACAGGCTACTATGTAAATACACTATGTTCTAGCACTCTCTCAAACATCTGGATGGATTCAGCACCGGGAAAAAACAAAAAAAAACGATAGCACATCTGGCATGTTTGATCTTCTTTGCTGTCAGTTTCCTATGTAACCATAGCGTAAAAGTAACTCCTCAGTGAAGCTGAAACCGCTCCAGGAGTAACATTTTTATGTACAGGAGAGGGTTTTCGATCTTGGGCAGGTAGGGAATAGTGGCCCTTCAGTGATTTAGGAGCATAACCTCATATCCCTGACAGCTCCCAAAGACTCTGGAACTGATTGCAGGAGTAAAGCTCCCTCAACCCTCTTCTGGTTATCCCAGACAGACGACAGATGATGAATTTCTAGGCCACCCAGCAGATGGGGAAGCAGAGCACAGGAGAAGGGGAACTCCTCCTGCCATCTGGTTGAGCGCTCACCTTTTCCACCACGAATCTGGCCCTCTCCGCTTCCTGCTGAGCCACCTGCTTGGCTTCCACAGCTTCTGTGAACTCCTTCCCGAAGGTCAGATGTGTCTATGGGGAGAGAGTGAGCACAAGCTGAGGCAGTAATTGCTTAGACAGCATTGCTCCGAGGCCTCCCTGGCCACTGGAAGGAAGAGGCCAGGAATAGCTCTAGCAGCGGCTGGAGGCACGGGGATACGCTCGCCCACCTCAACACCCTCATTCACACCTCCGTTTTCTTTGCTGCTCACACTGCGCCAACACAGAATTCTGTCATCCTCACCGTGGTCACCCCATGAAGAAAACGGCACCTGGGGCTTTTGATGGGGCCCATGGAAACTACAAAGGATCTATTCAATCAATCACCTCCCTAGAGGAGACTTGTGGGTTCCAAGACCCCCACGACTGACTATTGCTCTTCCCAGATCCTTTGATGCCCTGTTCCAAGACTTGGGTCAGGGAGGCAGATGGAAAACTGAGCCCCTGAGAGCAGGGGCTACAGCTGGTTCCCAGGGATGTAAGAGCACGATGCTCTCTGCTTATGGATTAACCAGCCCATTTCCTGCTCACGGCGCTTCCACCCCTCGACAGGAAGACAGAGAGGTGGTGTGCAAATCATGGCATCTTCAACCCACAAGTGGTTCTGGCAAAGTTTTTAAAAGAAAGGCAGGTAAAGCCATTGGTCAGGGTGAGAGCTTAAGTCTGACTATCCACAGACCTTCCTAATCACATAAATAGCTGGGGCTATTTGGCTGAAGTGACTGTCTCTAAAGATAGTACAGAACAGGGAAGAGATCTTGATGCTTCTAAGGCCTAGCCTAGAGCAAGTCACTGCATCCAACTTAAAAAGAAGGCGCAGGGGCTGCAGAGATGATGGCTCAGTGGTTAGGAGCACTTGTTGCTCTTGTAGAGAACCCAGGCTTGAGTCTTAGCACCCACATGGTGACTTACAACTATCTGTAACTCCATTACAGGGCTTTTGATGCATGTATGTGGTACACTTATATATATGCAGACAAAACATAAATACAAGTTAAAAAAAGATAAATAAATCTAGGGAAAG